CAGCTCAGCTTTGCTACACCACTGTTCAACTATCTGTCATCTGCCACACTCTTTTCCCCTTCCCTTGATACATCCATACGATATGCCCTCAGGGAATCCCACACCTCAGCCCACCAACCTGCCTCCTCTATATGTCTGTGTCAAACCATTTCCATTGCACATTTGTGGTTTAGATGATGATGCAGGGTAACAGTGGTAATGCTTCACAAATTGAGTCACAGACTCAGCTATGGTCTAGGGATTCCCCATTCCTTCAGATTCCCTTCTTCCTTGACCTTTGTGTCAACCCTATTTGCTTTGATCTTGCCCATGTTCTCACCCAGACCATTTATTTAATTGTTCATTCCCCAACTTTGCCCTGGGCCGCAGGTGTACAGCATAGCCATGCCAAAATTGCACTGCCCTCTCATTGAAGCCAGGCAGTGCTATTGTTAACCCTGCCTCCTGCACCCTTTTCCCTGCCCTGCACTATTGTCTACCTCACCCTTATATTTTGTATTGCCTTCCTTCACATTTAATATTCCCTCTGCATCCCAGCATGAAACTTCCAATCCAATAGAGGAGCTCATAGCTTCCATACCACAGCAGTGGCCCCTGATAATCCCTTCTTCACCATCAGTGGTCAGACCCATGGCAGTGACCATAGCCCAGCCTTCTGACTGACTTGAACAGACAGCGCCAAACGATGAGTGTCTGGATCCCTGCATGATCTCTGTGCAACTCCCCGAATGAGCACAACTCCCCAGATTGGTTGAACTGAACATATATACTCTGACTGTGGTCCACTCCCTGGACTTTAGTGTTATGGACCCCTTAACATTGGACATCCCAAATGGTCAACCAGCCATACTCATGTGCCGGCACTGATATCGGGTGCTACCCTTGCTTTATTATGCTGAAGTCTCCTGCCTGAAGGCTGTCTCCCTTGACCTGACTGAGGACTTTAGACATTTAGATGTAGCCATTTGGCTGAAGCACATTGAGCATTTTTGCCGCATTTGCTGCTGACAGACGGTGCAAGTGTGAGTTTGACATAGCACTGTGCTATACTAACATGTCCATCTCCTTCACTGATCTCTGCTGCCAAACATGACAAACTGCCTGGGTTTGTGTCCACAGCAAGGTGAAGACAGAAGTACTGTGAAACTTTAAGGTCTGGTTAGGTGGACTAAACTTAAAAAAGCAAGGAAAGGCAGAGATGTGGTGAGCATACAAGTAGGCGCAAAGTGAGTGAATGCTAAAAGAGCAAGCAAAAAGCCATGAGATGCACACTGTTCCAATCAGTGTGATGGGTGCCTGTCCCAGTGTGGAATTCGTCCTGGCAACAGCATTCCAAATAAAGATGCCAGAGTTTTCCAAAGCGCAGCACTGATGTGTCAATCTGCATTTCAAATGGGTTGAAGATGTGCTATTAGGGTGTGGTAAGATGGTACATGCCTGATGCTAACCTTTGTGGATGGAGGAGTGCAATTTGCCCACTGCCCACGGAGACGCTGGTGCCAGGTATCCAAGATTAAGATCCAGAGGAGCTAGAAACACCAGGTTTCAGATACGAGTTCCATGTCGTGAATTCTCAACATCCAGCTGCCAGTCCTGAGCATAGCAACCACTCGGTGCCCATTCATCTTAAGTGACCTTAGATCAGTAAATAACTTTTCCAACAGTTCTTTTAAAACAAACCACTGTTCCAAGCTCAATTCTGAACTTCAACCACTCTGCAGTTGGGATAAAAGCTTTTCCTTGTAAGACTTATCCTGCTTCTGCTGTGCACATGTCCAGTGATCATGGTCCCTTGAAAATGCAAACAGGTTCCTATTTGCTGTAATTCTGTCTCTGTAACATTAAATTACTTCCTGCTCCACATTAAGGTATTTGCCATAGTCCCACTGAACCATAGGTGTGCTGTCTTACTTGAGAGAGATGATTGATGGTGTTGTAACCTGAGGGTCCCTACACCTCAGGTGAGGGGAGAGATTGAGAAGGACAGTCTTTCAGGTTAACCCCAGCTGGTGCAAGAATTGAATCCACACTGTCAGCATCACAGACCAGCTATCGAACCATCAGAGCTAACTGATTCCTGACCTACTTTATATACATTGACATGGTTGTGTCTCTTTGTATAGCCAAACAGTTAATTTGTCCTCTAGATCTGAGCAGTTCTGAATTCAGCTTGCATTTCTTTATCATAGAATCCCTACAGTGTGGGATTTCTCAGTTTCATTGCTATGGGAGTCAAATGACTGTAAAATTGATTACAAGTCACTCCAGAGGTCTCACATCTACCAGGGATCCCATGTTGGGTGGAAATCATTTCCTCGCTTTGGCCAAAAGTATACCTCTCACAACTGTGGCAGTGGCCATCAATTTCAGCAGTGACCCCTGGCCAGAAACACTGCCCTCTGTTCAGAGCAGTCACCTTTTCCATTACCTGGTGTCCTGCTTGATTAAGAATTGCTCCCAACATTTTGACACTTGAGGCTGTCCAGAAGGAGGAGTTGCTTCACGTCTTTCCTTATGTCATGAACCAGCCGATTGATGCCTGCCTCAATCAGCTGAAGCTATACTGAAGTCCTCTTTCAAGATAGTTTGCAAAGGTGAATATACTAAGAATGTTCTGTAGCCAAATTTGCAGACAATGCAAAAATAGAATCAGAAAATCTCTACAGTGTGGAAGCAGGCCATATGGGCCATCAAGTCCACACTAATCCTCTGAACGGCATCCCACCCAGACCTACCCTATCTCCGTAACCTTCCATATCCTATGGCTAATCCACCTAGCCTGCACATCTTTGGACCGGTGGAGGAAACCAGAGCACCCAGAAGAAAGCATGCAGACATGGGGAAAATGTGCAAACTCCACACAAACAGTCACCCAAGGGTGGACTCAAACCCGGGTCCCTGGCGCTGTGAGGCAGCAGTACTAACCACTGTACCACCTCAACGAATGCTGACACAGAAAGGAACTGCTTATTTTGTCGAAACCCAGAATTTAATCAGGGACCTTTCAATCTTCAGTCTAATGCTCTCCCAACTGAACTATTTCAGCTTCCAAACTGAGCTATTTTGGCTAATATCTTTTGTTTTAACCCTTAAAATGCCTCAGCCAACTTGTCACTTCTATCCCAAGCTCTCAGTCTGCTGGATATCTATATGCTCTTCAATGTATCTGTCTAGTTGTATAATTGATTTCTGCACCTATATGCACCTACAGGTTTTGTAGCGAAGATCAAAACTGAGATTGACATTTTTGTTAAGTAAGGGTACTAAAGGTTGTGAACCAAGACATGTTAAAATACGTCTCATCCATGGTCTAAGTAAATATTGGCAAGAGATCAAGAGACTAAATCTCTTCCCTATTCCTATTACCTTAATATTGTGTCTCATTCCCAGTTTATCCGTCAATATTTTCTGGAAGGAAGCTGTTAGATCCCATTAAGTGTTACTGTAAATGGTTCTGAGGTTTGCAAATTATTTTATGACACCATTAAAAAATGCCTTGTCTCCGCACAAAACTGCCTGGTGTCATTAACATCGAGGTTTTATGGCTTAATTATCTAGGAACTTCCATGGTTTGAACTAGCTTTGTTTGCAGCCATTTGCAAGTATTCTGTTCCACTATAGTGTCACATACAAAAGAGGAATAGCCCTTTTTAACCTTGAGACAGCGAGGTGTTGTTTGAATTACTCTTTTCCCTTTTTATTTTCATCTTTTATGGTGATAGACCAAGTGTGCTGTCCATAAAACTGAAAGAACTGTGAATGCTGTAAATCAGGACAAAAACAGAAGTTGTTGGAAAAGCTCAGCAAGTCTGGCAGCATCTGTGAAGAAAAATCAGAGTTAACATTTTGGGTCTGGTGACCCTTCCTCAGACTCAAAACGTTAACTCTGATTTTTCTTCATAGATGCCGCCAGACCTGCTAAGCTTTTCCAGCAACTTCTGTTTTTGTGCTCTCCAGAACCCTGGTTTTCAGATAGCAACTTTTGAAATAAACCCACAGCAAAAGTAACGATAGATAAAATCAGTGATAGGGCTATTAATAAAAACAGCATCTGTGGAGAGAATTCAGAGTTAACATTTCATCCAGTGACCCTTCTCTAGAACAGACTTGCTGCCAGATCTGCTGAGTGTTTCCTGCAATTTCTGTTTTTGTTTCTGATTTCCAGAATCCGCAGTTCTTTTGGTTTTTATTTAGTTAAGCAGGTGTTGTTTTCCTTACAACAGAGAAAGCTGACAGAGGATCTAACTGATGTGTATGAAGCTCTGAGGAGCATAGACAGCTAGTTAGGGAGAAATTTTTCTGCTTAGTAAAGAAGTCAATAACCAGGGAGCAGTTTTAAGGAGAGAAAGCAAAGCTAATGTTTCAAGACCTGTGACCTTTCTTCAGAACTGTTCTCTCTTCAAATGCTGCCAAACCTGCCGAATTTCTGCAGAAATTTCTGTTTCCATTTCCAAGCCCTTTGTTTTGACCTTAGCTGAAAAGTCAATACAATGCAGGGGGTTCAAAATTCTGAAAATATGACATGAGATCAGCTTTGACTATTTTGTGAGTCCAGCAATGTTGTCCATTTTTAAAATAACTAGAAGTTAAACATGGAAATGTAGAATACAGTTTTCCCTGGGATTTCTCTTCATTCCCTCTAGCCATGACAGAAAACTTCCATTTGAAGTGGGAAGCTTTCAAGCTAAAACTTTGGGTACACTGAGATAGTTTGTTGAGCAAACAACTGAATCATTCTGATACCTCCGGAAAATTTACTGGAAAAGGTTCTTACATGATTGTTGTATGGTCAAAGCTGACTTGATTTAAAAGAAAGATAATGTATACATTTATCTCAATCCATACGCATTGCTTGTAAGGTACAGATGGATGTTTGATGCATTTGATTTAGTGAGCATTTTAATTCTGTGCTGGTAGCAATTGATTTAAAGTGGGATTTCAAAAAAACATGAATTGTTCAATAATCTTTTCCTGTGCAACATGTGAGAAACAAAAAGATGGACTTCTTGCTAGATTTATTGAATTGATTTATGGCAGTCATATGTACCTAAGTACAGTGAAAAACTTCATTTTGTGAGTAGTACAGGCAGATCATAGCAAACAAGGACATACAGATCATAGGTTGCTTAGATGGAGCAAGGCATACAGGTTACAACTGCACAAGAGGTGCGCTAGGCAAGATCAACATTAGCAAGATCAACATTATTTGAAGTTAAAGAGTCCATTCATCAGTCTAATAACACAGGGAAGAAGCTGTTCCTGAACCTGGTGGTGTGTGTGTTCAAGCTTCTGTATCTTCTGCCTGACGTTAGAGGTTATAGGAGAGCATTACTGGGGTGGGATGTGTCTTTGATGATTTTGGCAGCCTTTCCACAGCAACAAGAAGTGTAAATGGGTAGAACAGTTGCTGTATCAGGCTGTTGTGCACCTGGATAGTATGTTTTGCATCTGTAGATGCTGGTGAGAGACCTTATAAACATGCTAAATATTCTAAGTCGCCTGAGGAAGAGGCGTTGGTATGCCTTCTTGACTGTCATATCTGTGGGAAGTCCAGGACAGCTTGTTGGTTATCCTCACTCCCAGGAACTTGATGGTCTCGACCCTCTCCACCTCAGCTCCATTTTTGTAGATGGGGCGTATCCTCCTCCTTTCTTCCTGAAGTCAAAAATCCACGAATCTTGGTAGGTAACAGCCTTATAAAATTCTAGACCATAAGACTGTAAGAAATAGTAACAGGAGTAGACCATTCAGTCCCTCAGTAACTCCACCATTCAATAGGATCATGGCTGATCTGACACTCCTCACATCTATTTTCCTGCCTTTCCTCATAACTCTTGATTCCCCTACTGATCAAGAATCTATCTATGTCAGTCTTGAATACATACAAGTACTCTGTCCCACAGATCTCTTGCAGCAAGAAATTCCAAAGACTCACAATCCTCTGAGAGAAGAAATTACTTCTCACCTTGGTCTTAACTGGCACCCCTTTATTCTGAGGCCATGGCCTCCTGTCCTAGACTTTCCCATGAGGGGAAGCATTCTCTCAGTATTCACCCTGTCAAACCCCTTAAGAATCCAATATGTTTCAGTGAGATCACCTCTCATTCTTCTAAATTCCAAATAGTAGAAACCCAACTTGTTTAACTTTTGCTCATAAGATAATCCCTCCATACCAGGGATCATCCTAATGAACATGTTCTGAGCTGCCTCCAATGACATGATATCTTTCCTTAAATAAGGGGACCAAAACTGCTCTCAGTACTCCAGATGTAGGCTCACCAGCACCGACTCTTATACTGAAATCCTGAGGCTGAAGAGATACATGGATGGCATGTTTAGAGAGGTGGTCACACTTCAGCTGAAGCGCCTAGATGAAAGGAAGGAATGGGTGACCACCTGGGCAGTCAAGGAGAAACAGATAGGTAGTGCAGGAGTCCCCTGTGTGGTCACACTCTCAAATCAGTTTCCTATTCTAGAAGCGGAGGAGGGTGCTGATACCTCAAGGAGTGCAGTCAGAGCCAGGTTTCTGGCACCACAAGGGGTGACTGTACAGGAGGGAAGGAAGAAGAAAGCAGGAGCAATAGTGATGGAAACTCATTAGTTGGGAGAACCGACAGGCGTTTCTGTGGTTGGAGATGTGACTCTGGGATGGTGTGTTGCCAAGGTCAGGGATGTCACTGCTCAGCTGCAGTCCATCCTGAAGGGGGAAGTGTGATGAGATAGAGGTTGTGGCACACATTAGCATCAATGATACAGGCAGAGTGAGGAATAAGGTGTTGCATCAAGAGTTCAGGGAGTTAGGCAGTAGACTAAGCAGCAGGACCTCAAAGATAGTAATCTCAGGATTAAGCCCAGTGTCATGTGTGAGTGAGTACAGAAATAGAAGAATAGAGTAGATGAATGTGTGGCTTAAGAGTTTGTGCAGCAGGAAGGGTTTTAGATTTCTGGATCTCAGGAACCATTTCCAAAGAAAGTGAGAGCTTTACAAGTGGGACAGTCTGTACCTGGACCAGAATGGGGCTAACTTCCTTGTGGGATGGTTTGATGTTACTTTGGGAGGAGTTCAAACTCATTCAGCAGGGGCAGGTGACGCAGCATACCTGAGGGAAGGAACTAAGGCAGAAGGGGTTCAGCCATGTGGTGTTTCTAGGTTGTAAGGCAAGGCTGGATGGCCTCTACTTTAAAGCCAGGTGTATTCGAAGTAGAGGTTAGACCCTTCATGATGAAGGTGCATTATGGTGTTGATTAACATGTGGAACTGTGATGTTGTTGCCATCACAGAAACATGGTTGAGGGAGGGACAGGACTGGCAACTCAACATTCCAGTGTCTAGGATCTTCAGGCAGTTCAGAGAAGGGTGTAAAAGTGGAGGTGGTATTGCACTATTAGTTCGTGAGTTAGTCTCTGCAGTAAGGAGGAATGATAATTTGGAAAGATCATCAAATTAGACATTGTGGGTAGAACTAAGAACTAAAATGAGGATATCCTGGATATCTGTGAAGAGAAAGCAGAGTAACATTTCAAGTTCAGTGACCCTTTTTCAGTAAGACAGCTTGCTGGATTCAAAACATTAACTCTGCTTTTTCTCCACAGCTGCTGCCAGACCTGCTGAGATTTTCCAGTAATTTCTGTTTCTGCTTCAGATTTCCAGCATCTGAAGTTCTTTGTTTTACCTTATTTTAATAGCTCCTGTAGAAGCCAACAATTATGACAGTGCAACACTTTCTTAGTACTGCATTTAAGTGTCAATAATATGATTTGTTCTGGAGTGTGGCTGAACCTACAAACGTTAATCTAGGATCAAAAGAATATAATTAGAGACAAACTATAATGAAGAACGTGGTGCAACACGATGACTCAGTGGTTAGCTGTGCTGCCTCACATGTCCAGGGACCCAGGTTTGATTCCAGCCTCAGACGACTGTCTTTGTGGAGTTTGCACATTCTCCCCGTGTCTGTGTGGGTTTCCTCTGGGTGCTCCGGTTTCCTCCCACAGTCCAAAGGTGTGCAGGTTACGTGGATTGGCCATGTTAAATTGCCCCGTAGTGTACAGAGATGTGTAGGCTAGATGGATTAGCCATGGGAAATGCAGGATTATGGGGATAGGGTAGGATGCTGTTTGAGGGTCGGTGCTGACTCGAGGGACCGAATGGTCTCTTTACACACCTAGGCATGTATGATTCTAAGAATACAATCTGATCTGAATTTTTTGGGAAAAAGGTGATTTTAACAACTCAACCTAACATATTGCACAAATTAAACCAAAACTTCATTGAATTAAGAGATATTCTAAACTCACAAACCTCCAGAACTTTTTAAGAGTTTTGTGGACTTTCACTTCAATTGCTTATTAAACTTGCTTCCAGTCTGAAAAAGCACACTCCATATTCCCTGTCATTCATCCAAAGTTGTATCCACAGCACTGCTATCACTTATTGAGCATGGGAAAACTTGGCTTAGGATTCTATTTATTGCCGCTTGATCATACACCTTTCAGTATTCCATGTACCCCACATCAAACATATTGCCCTTATCAAACCTTTCTATTAGCCCATCAAAAAACTCAAACTTAATTACAACTTGCCCTGCACAAATCCACTTTCCTCAATTCATCTTGTCCAAGTGACCATTAACTTTGTCCCAGTTTATCATCTTCCCCACCTCTGAAGTTAAACTACGAAGTTACTGAGCTTGTCCTCACAGACTTTCTGAACAAGATTGTAATATTTCCAATTCAACAGTCCTGTTCCACCAGTCTTGTATCTATGGAGAATTAGAAGACATGACCAGTACCTCTTCAATTTCCATGCTATCTCGTATCCTCTGATCTGTCCTATCAGATCCTGGTAAAATTTAACATTCAACTTTTCCAAAATATTGAGAATTCTGGATATCTGAGGTAAAAGCAGAAATGTAGGGAATATTCAATACATCTCATAATATTTATGAAGAGAGAAATAGAGTTAACATTTCAGATCATCATTTTTAATCGGAACTGAAAAAGTGTAAATTTACACATAACAAAAGATGTGCATTGCATTCCTAAATCTGTAAAAGCACACTTATCAACAATAGCTGCAATTGATTTTTTTTTAATTCTTTCATAGGACATTGTCGTTGCTGCCAGGCCAGAATTTGTTGTCCATCCCTAAATGACCTTGAACTGAATGGCTCGCTAGGCTGTTTCAGAGGGCAGTTAAAAGTTAACCACATTGCTATTGGATCTGGAGCCACATGAAGGCCAAACCAGGTAAGGATATCATCCCTAAAGGACAACAGAAAGGCAAATAGGATGATGAAGATAATATGTGGTATGCTGAACTCAAGTTTGATTGCGTTGTGAATTTATTTGCTCCATTCCCATCTCTCTGCGCATGCATTATCATACCTGTCCTCATTTAATTTCCCCGGCCTTCTACCGAATTGAAGACTTTCCTTTTACATGTTTTCACCCCCCGCCTTTCCCAGCCTAACACTATTTCACCGACCTGAAATAAAACCTGTTCTTCCATCCCTTGCAGAGATACCGGAGTAACCGAGTGTTTCCAACATTTGTTGTTCCTAACTATCAGAGTTGATGTTTCCCTGCCTCCGTTGAGGTTTAACTGTTAATTTTTCATCATTACCCAGTAACAGAAATGTTGAAAGTACTCTGCTCCTGTGCCAGTCCCAGACAACAAAGTTAGCGCCTGAAGCAGTGCTCACTTCCGGAAGTGACGCTGCGTGACGCTTCATGAATATGGTCTATCCCGCTCAGAGTAGGCCGGATATGACGCAGCCTGACGGGGTAACGGCTATGGCGGCGGGTTCCGGCTCGGGGACAGGCTCGGTGGTGAAGGGTCTGATCAAACAGGAGGACTGCTCCTTCCTCCCCATCGTCCACGACATCATCAAATGGTAACGAGTGCATCGGGGTCAGAATCAGTGATGGCTGAGTGTCCGGGGGTGGGAAATAAGAGGGAATGGGTTTGGATGAGGGAGCTAGGCGGATAGGGCTATGGTGGGGGAGGATGAGGAGGCGGGGGGAGTGGGGAGTTTGGGGTGCAGTGTGGTGTTTGGAGGGGAGGTGTGCTGAAGGGGAAGCTGGCTTCCCATATTTGTACCTCAACTGATGTCAACTAAAACAGAGGCTTGGCCATTACCAAATCATTGTTTGTATGTGTTGCTGAGGACAAATTCATTTCCTACATTCCAGCAAGCCTGGAAGTTGAATCTCTGATCTCCTTGAGTTTGAAGGCTTGAGCCACAGCGTATGGGTTCTTGCTCAGTGTGACATCTGCTGTAGTATTTGCTGTAACTCTTTGCTTGTTGTTTACTATTATAGTCTGGATAGAAACTATTCACAAACCTTCTTGTTATCTTGTACTGGACAGTTGCAGTAGTTTATGTATAGGTCTGAAAATTCTTTTGAAGCAAAATGTGATATTAAAGGAAAGTAACAGTGTAGCAGTAAAGTCACTGGATTAGTAACGACTCCAAGGTTAATATTCTGGGGATCTGGGCTCAAATATTCCACTGGCAAGGGATGAAGTTTGAATTCAGTTTTTTTAAAATAGCTAGCCTAATAGCAACCATGTAAGCACTGTCAATTATCAATTTAAAAAAAAAACCACTTGGTTCACTATCATTTTAGAGAATGAAATATGTCATTCTTGCCTTGAAGATGTAACAAACAATGTGAACAATAGGATCCTGCAGATGTAGTATATCTGGACTTTGAGAAAGCATTTTGAAAGGCTAATGTACAAGCTAAGAACACATGGGCTTAAGAGTAATTTATTAGCTTGGATAGAGAATTGACCAACTGACAGAAAGCAGAGAGTTAGGATAAATTTATAGTTGGCAGGATGTAATTAGTGGGGTTCAGTCCTCTGGACCCAACTATTTACAATCTAGAATTGTGACTTGGATACAGGGTTAGAAAGTACTACAGCCAAGCTTGCCAATGACATTAAAATAGGTGCGAGATTAAGTTCCAAAGAAGAAATAAGGAACTTACAAATGGATATGGATAGGTTAGATGAATGGGCCAAAAATTGGCACATGATGTTTAACATGGATAGGTGTGAGGTTATCCATTTTGGCCAAAAGATTGAAAGGCAACTCATGATCTAAATGGAAAGAAACTTCAGAGTGCTTCGATGCAAAGGGATCTGGCTGTCCACGTATGAGTTGCAGAAAACTAGTATGTGGCTACAGCAGTGAATGAGCAAGGCAGATGAAATTTTGGCATTTATCGTGAAAACATTAGAGGATAAAAGTAGGTTGCTGCATTGGTGAGACCACACCTGGAGTACTGCATACAATTTTGGTCCCCTTACTTGAGGCAGGATGTAGTTGTATTAGAGGTAGTTCAGAGGAGGTTCAATAGATTGATTCCAGAATTGAGAGTTTTGTCTTATGAAGAGAGATTGAACAATTTAGGGCTATATTCGCTTAGTTTAGAAGAACGAGAAGAGATCTAATTGGGGAACATAAGATGCTAAAGGGCATTAACAAGCTACACGTAGAAAGAATGTTGCCTCATGTAGGGTAATCTACAATGAAAGGTCACAGTTTTAGGATAAGGGGTAGCAAATTTAAAACAGATGCAGAGAAATTACTTCTCTCAAAGGGCCATGATTCTATGGAATTCACTCCCCCAGAGTGTGGTGGATGCTGGCATATTAAGTATATTTGAGGAGGAGACAGGCAGAGTTTTAGTTAGGAATGTGTTGAGAGTTATGGAGAGCGGGCAGGGAAGTGAAATTGAGGTCAAGAGGCGATCAGCCATGATCGCACCAAATGATGGAGCAGACTCAAGGGGCTTAATTGTCTACTCCTCTTAGAATATATATTAATATGTTCTTGCTTGTCCTGGCCTACAGGGAGTCCAGAATCAGAGCAATATGGTTGACTTTTAACTGCCCTCCAAAATGGATCGACTCAGATCAAGGGACACTTAGGAAACGGCACTAAATTCTAGCCCTATCCAGTTAACAAATAAGAGTTATGAACAATGTTATCAATACGACTGTTTTGTAGCCCTAGTAATTTTGTCTGTGTTTGCTATTATAAACATTTTGTAAAAATATTACCATTGTATGTAATGATTTGTTTGTTGGTTTTTATCACTGAGTGCAGCATGGACAAAGACAGCCAAGATGTACACCAAGAACTCAATAAACTGAAAACAAAGCTGCAAGAGACTCGGGAAATAATTTTGGCAATGCCTGGAATTGACCTCAGTCCTGAGCAGCAGCATCTTCAGCTTCAGAATTTGCGAGACCAGGTTCGCACAAAGAATGAACTTTTACAGAAGTACAAGAGCCTGTGCATGTTTGACATCCCCAAAACATAGGAAGTAGCCAGCCACCAGCACCAAGGAACATTTCCATTGTAGATTATTTTTTTGCTGCTGAGTTCATGACTACAGAAATATAGGCAAGACTGCATGCTTAATAATGGTTTATTGAGTATACCTTTTTTAAATTATAAGCCTGTTGTTTAATTTAGTACAAGGCTCATTTATCAGAATGTTTGTCTGCTGTTTTTCTAGTCACCAGATCATCTGATTATATACAAATCCATTTGTTCAGTAAATACTTATTACTGGTAAGGCTTCAAAGAGTTATGTATGAATTGAAAAATTTATTGATTTGTAATGTACATGCAGTGATATATTGTTTTGGCAGTAAACTAATGGGGATTTAGTTAGCTGGTGTATGAATTCAAATTAAGTATATTATTTTCAAGCCAAGAACTGGAATACAGAAGGCCATTAGTCCAGTTTGGTGTCACCACACTCCCATATTGTCTTTTGACAGTAGGTTTGAAGTTGTGTAAACGTTTGTCTCTAGAAACACTAAAAGAAAAACTGTCTGATGCTTCCAAAACTGGATGTTGCGAAAGTGGTTTGACATTTAAAGTTGATAAACAGATAATTAATTCAAGAACAATTAATTGGTGTTGAAGTTCGACTCTGAGCTATGTACTCGGAGTATATGCTAAATGTTCTTTAAAGCATAGTAAAGTGTGGGTGTAATGTATATTTTCTATTAATGATTAAAATAAGCTTCCAGTCCCATTCATGGTTTTCAGTAAAGTTTATTTTGATCATTTTTGCATGTCTGATGCTATAGGTGTTACCTATTTGCTGTTAGGTTTCACTTAAGACATCTCTCTTCTGCGTAGTGTGATGCAATGTCTCTCCATTATAAATAGAATATAGTACAAACATATTAACCATGAGAGAACTCTCTAATTTTCTATAAAGGGAGAGCATTAGACCCTCTTGTATTTTAGTACTTCATACTATGTTAGTTGTACTTGTCTTTTCCCCTTCATGTACCCAGACTACTGGAAATGTGTAAATTTAGAACACTTTTTAATGCCTTGAGACACTTGTGAAGAAACTAAATTGTATTTTGAATTTATAAATCTATATTTTTCAATTCATAATTTGAGTGGTGATGTTTTATATATTAACCTTGTTTCAATGATAATACCTCTTGTCTTGTCAGAAAGCTCAAGTCTTACTCCAAATATTTAATCTATGCAGTCACTATTGCAGTATTTGGGGAACACTCATTGTGGAAATGTTTTTTGGATGAGGTTATTAAGCAATCCATGCTTTTGCTTCCAAACACTTCTCAAAATAGTGGGGTTTTCAATTGTCAATAGACATTCCCAGACAATAGACATTAACCTTATAATAACCACTAACAATAATTAACACACTTAACAGCAACACATGGTAAATCCTTGAATGCACCAGAAATGAAGAGGTGATTAATACCAGTTTTAATCTCAGTGCTAGGGTTCATCAGACCTATCTCGCTGAGCACTGTCGTTTTGCTATTGTTTCAACATTGCAATATTCCTGGACTACTGTGCTCTTTTATCCCGTGTTTTCGACTCCCCAGTGTAGTTTTCGTCCTGAGTGAGCTATGTATCAGTGATTAGGTTAAAGGTGTTCATATTTCATAAGCATAGATTTCCAATAAACTGTTAATCTCATCGCTCGAGACCATATTCCTTTGACAGATGTGGTGCTTGTTTCTCTGATTAATCCATTGCTGTCCTGCCATCTTATGTAAAAATAACCTAACTATTATTAAAAAAAAATGCATCTTCTCTGTTAAGTTGAAAAACAAATAAACTACATGATGCTGCATTGTCCAAATACTGCGTAATGTCTATAAACGTGAATTGTCCTATTTCGGGTCAGTTACAAAATCTGTTTAAATCGTAAGGATAATTGATTGCGAGTATAAAGACAATTAGTATAGAGAAATGAGTAACATTACCACTCAATTTACTTTTGCTAACAGGATCATAAACCGAATCTCCTTTGGCATTGTTCACAGAAGGTCTAGATCAATATCCTGATCGATAACTATCCATCCAGTAGTATTACTAAAAGCAGATAATTTTTGTCTTTATTCTAACTGTTACTTGCAGAATGTCAACATGTGTTAATTATTGCTGCTTTTCTCTGCATTGCAACAGTGGTCATGCTTCAAAAGTGCTTCATGAGCTTCAGCATTTTTGAGATGTTCCGAGGTTGAGAGTCATGTTGTCTAACTTCCAAACTTGTACTCTGTAAGTGCATTTTGTAAACAAATACCTGGTAAGCTCCTCATGATCACCAACCTACCTGTCACAAATGTGTCTATCAATGACAGTATTGGGGTCGCTGTGGCAGAGGAGATTTGCTAGAGCCACTTTGGAGAGCTTAAGCTATTCTGGCTGGGGAGTGAGACCTTTAAACAATAGTGAGACAAAAGAGAAGGTGGACGCTAGTACAGAAGCTCTTTAAAGATCAACAAAGCTAACCAAATGTGGAGCTGCAGGAGATGGGTAAGATCTTAAACAAATGTTTCTCGTCAGTACTTACTGTGGAGAAAGACAGGAAAGCTAGGGGATGTAAGTAGTGATGTCTTGAAAAAAGTCCATATTATAGAAAAGGTGCTGGTGATTCTAAACTGCAAAACGTTAGATAAAACCCCAGAATCTTATCACCTATATGCCAGGACATTGGAGTTTAACAGAAAAATGTGAGGTGTTGCATTTTGGTAAGACAAACCAGGGCAGAATGTACATAGTTAATGGTCAGGCCCTGGGGAGTGTTGTCAAAGAGAGAGAGCCAGGGATGCAGGTACATAGTTCCTTGAAGGTGGTCTCACAGGTAGACCAGGTGGTGAAGGAGTTTAGCATGCACACCTTCAGTTAGAGCATTGAGTACAGGAGTTGGGACATCATGTTATGGCTGTACAGTTCGTTGGTATGGCTACATTTGGAGTACTGCATACAATTCTGGTCACTCTGCTATAGAAAGGATGTTATTAAACTGGAAAGGTGCACAAAAGGTTTACAAGGATGTTGCTGAAACTGGAAGGTTTGAATTATAAGAGGGGCTGGGACTTTACTTCCTGGAGCATAGGAGGTGACAGCATAGAGAGTTATAAAATCATGAGGGGCATACACGAGGTAGGTAGCCAAGGTTTTTTACCCAGGTTAGGAGAGTCCAAAAGTAGATGGCATTGGATTAAGGTTAGAGGAGAAAGATTTAAAAGGAGCCTGAGGGACAACTTTTTCCATGCAAAAGGTGGTGCATACATGGAATGAGCTACCAGAGGAAGTAGTCAAGGCAAGTACAGTTACAACATTCAAAAGACATTCGGACAGGTACATGAATAAGGAAGGTTTACAGGGATATGAGCCAAATGTGGGCAAATGGGATGAGTTCACTATAGGAAACCTGGTCAGCGTAGACAAGTTGGGCTGAAGGAGCACTTCCGTACTGTATACCTCTATGACTCTGTGAGCACTGTATAGTCTTTGTGTAAATGCAGTCCTGCCTTTGAATTAAGGGTACCCTTGCTTGGGTTATGGGGCACAACCACTCTGTTTTGAATCAGTCCATCTAGGGGAGGCATTAGCTTTGTGGTATTCTCACTATTTATTCAGAGACGATGATAATATTCTGAGGTCCAGGCTGGAATCCCGACATGGTGGAATTTGTATTCAAACTTGAATTTTTCCAGCCCCTTTGAGGTGACTGCCTGGGGTACATTACTAGTGACTCTGGTAGCAGTGGGATGCAAACCAACAATTCGATAGACACTGGCGCTTAAAAGTCAGTGCTTCCAACCACTCGGCCATAAAGCATTAGCACAAACAGCAGTTGGTGGGATTTGAACGCACACCTCCAAAGAGATTGGAACCTGAGTCCAGCACCTTAGGCAGCTGAGCCACACTACCCAGGCAAAACTGCCTAAGTCAGGTAGTAGTCAAACATACAATCTTCTGATCCAAAGTCAGATGTGTTATCCATTGTGCCATTGGCCCCAGGCACTGGAATTTGTTTTCAACTAAAATCTAGATCAAGAGTCTAATAATGGCCATGAAAAGCTTGCTGATTCTCAAAAAAAATCCATCTCGTTCACTAATCTCCTTGAAGAAGGAAAACTGCTGTCCTTACCTGGTCTGGCCTTTATATGACTGCAAACCTACTGCAATATGGATAACTCTAGACTGACAACTGAATGACTTGCTCAGTCACTTCAGAAGGATCAATCAGTAGATAGTTTAAAATTTCTGGCATCTACCCGACAATATGAAAAATGGCCTAGGTATGTACTGTATACAAAAAGCAGGACAAATCCAACCCTGCCAATTACTGCCCCATCAGTCTACTCTGATCAGTGGTAAAGTGATCGAAGATGTCATCAACAGCACTACCATAGAGTCATCGAGTCCTACAGCTCAAGAACATTTGCTTAGTAATAACCTTCACACTGACACTGGCCCTGACACTACCTGCCACTGGCCTGACTCCCCTCCCATCCCATCACATCTGACCCCTCCTTCACTGCCCTGACTATCTCAGATCCAATGTTCCCATCCCACCTATTGGACTTGACTCCCTACTCAACCCTCAATCTATTAAGCTCTCATCACTTACCAGGCAATTCAACAAGTTTTTGGAGTGCTGCTGGACATTTAACTCAGGACAGAGTGAGTGACCACTGCAAACATTTTCATCGTTGCTGGATTCATAGATTCCAGGTCGGATTCTTTACAATTGGTCCTTGCTCAGGAATCTCCACAGCAGCCAAGACATCTAATATTAATCGGACAATCTTTAACCTAATCAGGTTTGGAAGTAAAGTTTCTGACCCTGACTGGATTATCTGGCTCATATATTTCACTTGAATCGTTTCCACGCTTCCTAGTATTGCAGCACTTTCCAAGTTAATTACTGAATGTTTGAATAGCCAAGAGTGAGTCAGAATTATTACGAAATGGAAAAAGCATAAAAATATATGTGCAAATTTTAATCATTGGTTTTTGGGGATGAGGGGGTAAAAGGCATTGAGGTGTTCAATCAGCTATGATCAGATTGAATAGGCTCAATAAGCTGAATAGCCTACTCCTGTTCCTATTGCACACCCTTAAAGGATTTTTTTAAAAATCAATTTTCATGGGAGTTGCTAGCTAGGTCAAATCTTTTGCTCATCCCTAATTCCCCTTGCTACTAATTGGTTTGTTAAACTATTTCAGAGGGCATTTAAGAGCAAACTGCATTGGGAGGGTCTGGAATTATATTAGGCCAGAACAGGCAAGGATGGCAGACTTCCTTCCCTAAAGAAGATGAGTGGACCAAATGGGTTTTTATGACAATCCATGATTGTTTTGAAGTCATCATTACTGGGACAAATTTTCAGTTCAAGAATTTATAAATTGAATTTAAATTCAACCAATTACCTAGACAAGATTTGAACTGCTATCCTCACAAAATTAGCCTGGCACTCTAGACTACTACACCAGTGGCTCAGTGGTTAGCACTGCTGCCTCACAGCCCGGGGACCCAGGTCTGATTCTAGATTTGGGTAACTGGAGTTTGCATGTTCTCCTCGTGTCTGTGTGGGCTTCCACCCGGTGCTCCAGTTTCCTCCCACAGTCCAAAGATGTGCAGGTTAGGTGGATTGGCCATGCTAAATTACCCCATAGTGTCCAAGGGACGTGCAGGCTAGGTGGGTGACCCATGGGATATGTAGGGTTACAGGGATAGGGTAGGGGATTGGATCTGGGTGGAATGCTTTTCAGAGGGTTGGTGCATTGGTGCAGACTTGATCGACCAAATGGCATCTTTCCACACTGTAGGGATTCTATGACTAGACCACCATGTCACAAGTACTCCACTGGCTACAACTTATTTCGATGAAAGGTTACAATCTGAAATATTAACTCTAATTCTCTCTCCATAGATTCTGCTAGACCTTCTACTTTCTGCGTTTGGCTTTAATATTTGATATAATTGATTCTTTGAAGTTCTGATATGAACCATATTAAGTAGATGAATAGATAAATGCATCTGCAATAGGTTAAGATTGGGGAGAGGTTTCCCAATTTGTTAACAGTTCCAGACAGGATACCCCATGTTGTTATGT